TTGTGTATAGTACGTGCTCAATAAATGTGTGTATAATCAAATGGTTGAGATTCTGTCTTTCCCAGTCAGAAACAGCTGAGTTACCTGTTACCTCTGTGACGTGGCCTAAGAATTTCAGCCCTGCAAACCTTAGTTTCTTCTTCTGTGACATGGGAATAGATCTAATTGACTATAGTGGGGACTAAATGACATAATGTCAAATGCTTGACCTATAGTAAGACTTGTTAGCGTAGCTACTGTTTTTGTTAGAGTCAATTAAATGGTATTTCAAAGATCATTATCACATACTCATCAGGGCTGTTTCTCATTATAACCACTTTTGTTTTTCAAAATGAAATAAAAATATAAAAAACTTTAAAATATTGTTCTATTTTCATGCAGCAGCATCACTGAATGCTTTTGGAATGTGGTAGAGAAAAACACAAAGGGAAAATAAAGGCAGGAATTTACCCATCTTGCCCAGGATAAGGGAGGAAGTCAACCTAACTGAAGGAGAATCAGGTTTTTGTTTGAAACTTTTGCAGTCTCTCCCTCCTCCCCTTCCGTCCCTCCCTGTCCTCACTGTTGTACACGTGCACTCACTCACACTCACGCACATGTGTGTATATACACCTACCGACACACTTTCGGAAATATCATCCCTGGGAGTTAGTGGGAATCTTTCTGAATCCTTCTTTAAAATAAAGTTCTGAGTTTACCTCTCTTTAACTCCTCTAACTTAACTTTTGAATAGGTTATCATTCAAGGAAGAATACCCAAAGTATCAAGTTTAATAACCCTTGTTCTTTTTTCAAATTCTTTGAATGGCTTCTTTTCTTTCCTAGTTCCATTGCATCCAAGAATAATTTTTAAAGATTTTTGGCTTAACTAGTAGTAAATCAATATCTTTTTGTGTCGGCAAAGTTACCAACCGCGGGTGTCTCTCTGCTGGTGTGATTGCTCAAATTGTGGTCCAAGTTGTTGTTTCCTTTGAAAATTTGCCATAATGCTTGTGGCAGAGACAGAATAAAAAAACAGCACATGAAATTAAAAGTCTTCTTCAGTCTTAAGAAGGAAAGGAAGCTACAGTGGACTGGAGCTTCTAGACTTTTAGAAGTGTGCTTACTTCTCTTTGAAGGCAAAATGCAGATAAGGCGGTAAAAAGTTATAACTAGGCTTAACATTTTATTCTGCAAGGGGATATTGGAGTCCATCTGCTCCAAACCCACAATATTTCAATAAAGGAAATTAAAATTCAGAAGAACATGAGCCTTGCTTGGTAAAAGTCTTGCTACTGTTGTCTCCTCGCGCTTCCATGGCTGGTGGCAGAGCTATGATGTGATAGGGTTGACCTATAGTAGCTGCTCCAAAGTTATTTTTATTAATAGAAATGAGCAAGTTTGGTTCAGCCCACTGTCTGACCCGTGGGCCTCTGTCGCCCTCTCAGGAGCCAGTGTTTTGCATGACTTAATTCCCGAGAGGCTTCCCATACTTGCCTGGTGGAGATAACATATTGCCCCCAAGCTAATGCTCGCCTTAGAACAGCATTTCCAAAAGTGCTTGTTCTATGGATTGTTAGTTGGTATTTTCTGGGGGAAAAAAGTTTATGCTTCAATGAATTTTGAAAATGCTACACTGAACAAATGGATATGATTATTTCCTGAAGGGCCTGGCGGAGCCTGTATTGTGCCGACAGGCATCAGGCATCAGGCATCTGTAGGAGCAGGGAGAACTGCCTGTACTGTGGTTTCAGAGCTTACCTGACATGGGACACTCTTGCATCTCTCCATGGTCCCAGCATCTGGGGATGACTGGGGCTTAAGTTATTTGCCTCTCAGAGATACTTGCATTTTTAATAAGGATTCTTAAAGAAGAAATTGTTTGTTGAACTCCTTATTTTTCTACCTTAGGATGTAAAGTCTTTAAGAGAAGGAAAAAATGTCCTTCATTTCTGAGTTACCAGCCCAGAACCATGTACAGCTCCTGCCACAGAGGACAAATAACACAGGGTCCACTTGTGTTTGTTAAATGAATAGACAAAAAAGCCTACAAGCCCCCTAAGACCTCCTTTCTGGATGTAAAATTTGAGCCCTTGATGGAAACCACATTAACCTTCTGTTACTCTTCATTTTTTGATCATCTAGACTTCAGTCTGGGGCAAGACCTATTAAAAATTGATAGATAAAATTATTAAGAAAAAAATTATATTACATGTTTTCTCTTTCCTTGCTCCCTAAAGAAAAGCTAATATTTACCAGCTTTTGCAAGGCAGAATCAGGGCAATAGTATAGGAAGGCATAGGAGGAGAAGCAAGATGGGAAAATTATGTGGGGAAGGGTTGAGATTTAGAAGAGAAGGATGGGAATGGAGGGAAAGAGGGTGGAGAGGGAGACAAGAACCAGGGAAGTCTCATGGTTGTGACAATTCTTGGTTGGGAGTTGAGAGCGGCAGAGGGAGAAAGGTTTTGGGGGGAGGAAGAGAAGCCACTGTTTTTGGATGGATGATGCGGGTGACATAGATGGAAAGAAGGATTTCAAAGATATTTTTTGTGAGACACATAACCGACACCTGTACGTTCTGCTTTGGAAGTTTCATGAAGGACAAAGGAAAATCTGGAAATGTTTGCGTATATTTTGATTTCCCTCTTGGACTTCCCCCAGAGACAGCACAGGGGGAGACTGCCATCGGATGTGGGTTACACGATCCAAAGGACAGAGACAGGAGGACAAAAGAGGAAGGACAAAAGAGGACCTCAGCAAGCTTTCCATTTCTCATGACAATGGGGGCATTGTCACTTCTAAAACAACTGTATACAGTGTTCATGACCCCCTCCCACCTTACAGTTCCCCAGTCGTACATGAAAACAGGAGAATGTGGTTGCCTTTGCTAAAGCTTATTTGTAGTTGATTTTCAACACATTTATAAACTCATGAAGAGCTGTTTCACAATGTACCCATATCTCTATGTCACAAAAATAGGTTTACATGAAAGAGAAAGTATAGACAATCCAAATGATTCTGTAATCACCATGAGGATGTCCTCCAATGGGGACAGCATTCTTTGGCACAGGCTGCCTAGCAGTGCTGTGTACAATGTACTAGGTTTCAAGGAGAGATTTTGTAAGATTATGAGATTCTGAGAGCCGTTAGATCAACAAGTTATTCTGGAGGCCTCAACTGAGCTTCTCACAGACATCACCACCCTTGATCCACATAAGGCCACCATGTTTACTCACGCAAGTATTCCGAAAGTATTCTCAGGCAGGTGAGCTGCCAGGCAAACTTTTCATTGTACTGGCAAAGCGGTGTCTAGGGGAACCTACCCACTTCTAGCATGGGCTACGTAAAGCTACCTAGGTAACCCCCTCCTTAAAGCTGCTTTCACCTACGTTAGAAAATACATCTGGCTTCAGTTTTTATTACTGTGCATTAATTTGCTTAATGCAGTTAGTAGGGGTTGCTAGGCTTAGTAGAAGGAGGAAATAAGCTGGGAAGCACGTAGTACCAAGTTGACTTCAGTTCACCTAACATTTATTGAGCAATTATTATGTGCCAAGAGATGGGATCAAACACAAGATGAGTGCCCTACCTTATAGAGAGGAAAAAGAGAAGGGCAAGAGGGGTTGGGGACAGAGGTTGAGATGGGACAAATAAAGGGAGAAAGAAAGTCAAGTGAGAGAGGCAGAGGGAGGTCAGGCAAAACAAAGTAACAAGACAAACACAAAGAAAGGCAGCACTATGGCCAGGGCAGAGAACTGTTGGAGGAAAAGAAAAAAATGGCAGTGAAAGAGACAAGAAGAAGAGAAGGAATGGTCAGAAATGATGCAAGAAAGGTCAAGACAAAGAGAATGTTGCTGGGTGGGCCCCAGTTTTACACCCTTTAAAGATGGTAACTGACCAAAAGCTTGTTCTGCTTCTCCGTGCCCTCAGCCTCTCGGAACAAACTGGGAGTAAATCACACTTTTAGAGTTCCAAGGTGTGCGGGCAGACAGAGAAACTGTATACATTAAATCAGCAAGCTAACTGAGGTTATCGCAGCCTTTACTTTTGGAAAACTTTTCTGGGGAAAATAAAAAAACAAAACCAAAACACCTCCCCCCAAAACTAGATTTACAGTATAGATGTAATAAAAAAAAAAAGTATGAGTGTTTTCTTCCTTTTTCATGCAACTCCAAAGTGCCTCTTTCTTTCTGGGAAATCGTGTCTCTGGTACAATTCATCACATTCAGTAGTCATAGTGGCTATAAGCACTCATTACAACGTCTCCTTAAGAAAGGGGAGGGTGAAATGGTAGTTTAGAGCAGGCAAAATGGCCTGTTGTTTATATTTGGTGCATGATGTTAATCAGCAGATTATTTTTTGTAATTTGAGAGTGGAGTGTATCCAGATGCTTCCTGAACCAGAAAACGGGCTGTGCCACATCTGTTTGGGAGAACCAGTTTCTAATCCCCAATCTCCTGTCCAGGTGTGATTTGAAGGTCAGCATCTCTTTGGAGGACACACAGATACTTGGTCACCGCCTGAGAGAAAGGGAGATGGAGGTGCTGGCAAGTGCCATCAATCATGCTTTATACGCACGTAAGACTCTCGAGGGTGAGAGCAAATTGGTGACCCAAGAACTATTGTCCCATCTCTTGCAAGGGTGTTACCATATGTGGGGATGACAAGAATTGTGTTTTGCCCGCTGTGCTCAACACGAACGCATTCAGCAGTAACAGCTATCACACTGGTGGGGTTTGGTGCTGGGGGAGTTCTGTGTGCTGGGAGCTGGAGGGAGGCCACCAATTCATCTCACATATATTATTTCTCCAGGAAACACAGCATAATTGAGGACAATTTTCCACCATGAATTGCATCATTAGCTAACACAGGGAAAGTGAAATGCTGTTAACTTTCCTTTTCCTTCTGCAAAGCTGATGAGCTGGAGGAAATAGAAATAAAAAGTTTAATGTAATTTTTTCCCAAGGATGTATGTTGAAAATCAGAATCAAAACACTTTTACACGGTAATAGAAATCCCACATTTTAATACATTGCCATGCACATAAGGAATCAAGTAATGCAGAATACAAAATAGTCAAATGTACAAAATGAAAGCAGATTTTCAGTCTGGATAGGGATCATGCTCACAGATACAAGGGGGCAAAAATATGTACAGTTTCATTTCTATTAATTTAAAAAGAATCATGTCCCCCAATTCTTTCTGAGGACAAACGAAAACAGGAGAAAACATTGTAAGAAAATATAAAGGAGACCCAAAGGGAATTGGCAAGTTGATAGCTGCTGAAGATATGGAAATCGGTGGTTCAAAATTGTGGTGCACAATAATTCTTATGTTTAGAGAAAAAATTTCTAAACACTGTAGGCCCTGGAAATCCAGGGAACTAAAATGAACATCCAACAGAAAAGGCACTCTTACTTCACCATGTCGCTTGTTTCTGTCCTCCTAAGTCCAGCCTTGGGAGTTATTCCAGGGTGCATAGAGGAAAAAACCACAGTTGTGGGCAATGAATAAAGAAAACACTTATTTAATTAACCACTTTGAGGAGATTCTAAGAGAATGCAGATTGCTGGTATAACTACTCACTCAAGAAAGCTAGAAAAATGTCTAACATCTACACAGGCTTTTGTGCTATGAAATGTGTTTTTATAGCCATGTTTGTTAGTATTGGTAAAAAAGTGAACCAGTTTTTTGTGTTTTTTTAAATTAGATTCCCCCGACCCCCCCATACACTGTGGAGAGCACTGGTCTTACATTCATTTCATATCGTGTGATGTTTCTTTTTTCTTTCCTAGAACAAATATTAACACGCTATATAGCTCTTCAGGGAGTTTGATATAGCTTTCTGCCTCCTGTGACCCTGGATTTGTCGGCTTCACACTTGGGCTGGTCTTCTCCAACCCCGTGACCGGAGATCTTCGCCGGCTCGAAGCCAAGCGTGAGGCTCTCTCCCTCGGCCAAGCCGCAGGGCTCTGACCCTCGGGGAGGTGAAGATGCGGAGACAGATGAGTGCCTTGGCTGCGGGCTCTGCAGCCTAGCCCCCCAGTATTGGAAGAAGCATGTGTGGGCAAAATGATGATTGCGACTTTATTATCATTCTTTCTTCTATTTTTTCCCCAAATGGAGCCTCAGTAATAATAGCTATGAGGGCAAGCGGAAAGTAAGGGAATAGGCTCATTGACTCAAGCCCGTAGCCCAGTCACCGTGAGAGTTGTAGGGATGGCGGCAGTACAGGGCAGCTTGCCCCCTTCGCTCATTTTAGCCTCCAAACAGCCCTGTCTGCCAAGGCGGGGCAGCCGGCGTCCCAACCAGAGAGCGCAGGTCCGGAGAGGTGGGCGATTTCTATTGGATTCAAGTATTCTCCCCCTTTATCAGAGCAGTGCCCGCGTCCACAAAGTCCCGAGAATAAGTCAAGTATATAAACCACAAGAGATCAATAGTTTTTTTTTTCCTTGGGTACTTTTGACTGCTAATATGTAATCTTGTAATGACATTGATCTTATCTAAAATTTTGTGTGCAGCTCTTTCACTTAGTGCCTGATGGTATTAACTGGTCGGATTAACTGGGGCCACCAGAGTATGATTTAGTGGCGTAAGAGTGCTGGTGGAATTAATCTCAAACCATGTGTGCTGGCTTGGCTTTCAGCAGACAGGTTGCTTCTGGGCCAACCCATGACCCAGTCGGGCAGGACGAAGTCGAGAGCATGGTGTTATTCGGCTCTCCACAATGAGAGCTCCTCGCACCGGCTCAGCCATGGCCTCCTCAAATTCAGCCTTGTCAGGAAAGCCTTTTTCTATTGGTGGGGGACAGGCAGTGCCTGAGAGAGCATTCAGAGGCCCAGAGAGACTTCAAATTGCCTAAGGAGGCGGTTAAATGGGGGGAATCCCAACCAACCCCTGTGGGCCAACACTCCCTGAAGTGGGTATAGCTTCTCCTTCTGGTGATTGGTGGTGGGAGGTGAATTACAATGAAAAACCACAAAGGTGCCAGTGTTCAAACATGAATAACCACCTCTCTATTCTCTAAGTTTTCATATATAAACAGGGGGCTTTTTGACGCGAACCTGATTATGTACCTCGAAACCTTTGCAGCTGGTATGGGGGGAACATACTCTTGGTCTTCTCTTGAACGCGTTGTGTGGGGACTCGGTATGGGAACTGACAAAAGCAGCCACAGAGTGAGCCTGCAGCTCCCAATGCAAACACAAAGGCAGTTGATTATGGTTTAAAAAAATAATGGAAATTTATATAAAGAATTAGAACTGATTTAGAGATCAGATGATCAGGGACCACGATGGCACTCAATCCAAATCGTGTTTTTGGAATGATGCTTGAATAGAGAGTCTGCTTAGAGCTTCGACAGGTGTCTTTGTGGTATTTGTGCTATTTTTGAGGGAGGCCAGTCTCCCCTATTGGCAGACGGAAGAAGGTCGCCATCAGTTTGTACAACGGGAAGGGAGCAACCACCAGACCCTCGAGGCATTTAATAGCAGGCAATTTCTTCCTCAAGGTTATATCCCAAAATCAGTTCCCCTACCCAGAAAGAAAGAATGATCCAATAGGAATCTCTCATTTTACACTATTTTAAAGAGTAAAGCATTGGAATACATTTTAATAGAATTTGGGGGGTGGCGGTGGTGGTAATTAAACACAGGACACAAAACAGACCTGTGTGCTCTCCAACAGCAACCCAGCCCAGAGCTCCCCGCTGGGCTGCTGTGTGTGCTCTAACGTGGCAAAGCCACAGCAAAGCTGCCTGTTTTTTTTCCTTTGATCCAAACGATTGAAATTTAAAAGGCTATAAACAATGCAGAAGGCAACAAGCAGAACTTCACTGTGTTAAATGTTTTAGGCATAAACCTCCAACTTTGGATTAATTTAATCACTTCTTTGTCATTCTCGTAGAAACAGTAGAGATGTTCCTATCACTCTGCACTTCAGGCAAGAAGGCCTGGGTTAGAGAGCCTTTCTAAGGCTTCTGTAAATGTTTGAGGTTTGGAACGCAGCGACGACAAAACAAGCAATTAAACAACTGAAACCCTCAAACCGTTAACTCCAAATATGAAAAGGATGTTGTGTAATCAGAAATAATGTCCCAGTATCTACAACACTTAATAGTATGTCAACCAGTCAACTGCAATTCAGTGCAAGTCATGTGGTTACTTTGAAATTTTATTATTGGCTGTATGTTGCTGGTGCCTTCTGGTGCTTGATGTGATTCGGGGAAGGAGGCTCGGAAGTAAGAATGCTGGGAGCTCTTCAAGGTCTAATGGAGCCCTACGTGGCTAACGAAACTCCAGATTTACAAAGCGAGTCATTTCTCCGTCTCTGTGCTGTTGGGCAGGAGGTCTAGGACGGATCCATACTCCATGGCATGTCCCCTTTATATTTGTCATAGGTGAGTTTCAGCCTAGAAATGTTAGATCTCACAGTGCTTGCCCCCAGCCCAGAATTTTCCCTGCATTATCTTGGTCATGAAAAGCAGTACTGAGGCCATCCCTCCAGTCACCTTCCCAAATGAGAATCCACAGGGAGGTATCTTTTGTGGCAGAACCTCCTTGCGCACTTGGCCAGCTTTTTCTTAAACTTCTGTTAGCTTTCGAAAGAATGCTCCCTGTCTCCCCATGAGAGCAAGTCACCAGAGCGAAATCATGGAAACGCGGCCCTCTTTGACCTTGAAGTTGTGCCCTGGTGCCAGAGATTGCGCACATTGATACAAGCGGAACTCTAGTTTTCTGGCTACAGGATTGGATGCAGATCTAAGGAGACAGAGGGACAGTGCTTGTTTTTGAAACAGAGTTCCCCTGGCTGCGTGCTGAGCAGATGCAGGTTCTGGTTTGTCCTCCTTCATGATCCCACGGGCCTTGTTTTGATTAGTAGTGCTGACCGGCCAGCCCCTGGAGATGAGATTCCATAGACCACTGGTGTTTGGCCACAAGCTTAAGAAGGAATTACTAGTCAGTATTGGGGGTGGGGGGGAAGGCAAAAACTATGTTTTCTGTTTGAGTTCTTTATAGAATACTCGAAATCTACCCTCAGAACTATGTGAGAAGAAAAGATTTTAAAAAATCACAAAACAAAGCCAAAAAGCGGGGTGGAGGAGGTTGTAAGAAAGGTGAATAAAAGCAGCCTTTAAGGCATAAAGAAATGTATGTCATTTTCAAAGGTTAGATGTTCAAAAAGAGACTATGGAAGCCTCAAGATTAGTTGTCAGTAACAAAATTGCCCTAAAGAATGTAGGGAAAAACATCACAAAGAATGAAGCTGCTAATGCACTGGAAAGAGATTTTTGTGAAACTGAAGTGCTAGGCGGTCTTGAAAACTTTTCTTCCATGAAACTTTTAGTGTTCCTATTCAAAAGCAATTAGGTGCCATCTGCAGACAAAGGAAGCATTTACAGGGAACAAGGGGGTAAATCCATTCGTGTTTATCCTGAGTTTATATTCTCATGTGAGGTTGACATTCCTTTCACCCTTCAATGCTAACAAAATGGCAGAATTCCCTCAGAACTAAGGGCTATGAGTCTCTGTCTGGGCAACTGAGAAGTGATTCTGGAGGGACCTGTGTGCTGTTCACCCATAATTTGGAGGTAGCAGTCAGGCGTGTGGTAACACACCTCACAGAGCCTGAGCCTGGACCTGAAGATGCATTGTTACCCATAAGGAAAGCTCATGGGTCTCTATTCCCCTAGGTCTGTGGTGAACCACTGACGTGATCTGCTTGCAACCCAGCAGAACTTCAATGTTCTGCAAATTTAAATTCAGTTCTGGACCTGGAAAAAAGGAATCCCTTGGCACTGTGGGGAATCTGATAAATATTCATTTCCATTCATTCCTAAGAGTGCCTTTCCTGTAAAGTGTGGGTGTCAGTCTTTTAATGAAAGGTGTAGCACAGGTTTAAGGAAAAGTTAGGCGTCAACAGTTTACAGTCCTTAGGTGTCAACATACTTATCCCATGCCTCTGTCTCCTGCTTCCTACTAAACAAAACTCACCTCAGCCATTTCAGAACTTCTGGGAGGTCAGATTGCCCACATACACCTTGGGAAGAAGGTTCAGTCCATCAGAAAGTCACCATAGGTAACTGTGGATCGACACATGACAAAGAATCCCAAGCCCACAAATAGCATCGTTGCTCCCTTTTGCTGGTTTAGCTTGCGACTGCTCAGATTTTATGCTACCATGTTTTCAAAACTATCCTCCAAAATGATTTCAAACTGAGGTGGACCGTTTGGTGAACAGTAGTAGTTCGTTTGCAAATGTGGGGTACTTGCCAAGAGTTAAGGCATTTTTAGAGAAGCCATCTTCAACTGGGCTCTTTCATTGTCATCTTTTTCCTCTTTCCCATCTCCATCTTTACCCGCCACCTTTTCATAATTTTCCAGCACTCTTTTGACTCAAAAATAAACTAGGAAATTCAACTTATTCAATCGTTCAGAACACATTTTGCAAAAGCCGAAGTAAGGATGAACCACCATCGATTAATGAACATCTGCACCCTCAAGCACATCCAACTTTCCACAGGTGTTAGCAGTGGTCTCGGAATGTCACCAGCTAAACCAATTAGTTCCCAGCTACGCTATCTCAGCACTTGGCAGTAGTTCTTTTGATGCATCAGGCCCAGTTCTGTGTCTCCAGCGCTAGCTGTTGAATTGGAGTTTCAGAGAATCCAGCATCATGATGAACAGTTGTGTCTCTACAAAGAATGGGAATATAGGTGACCAAGGTAGACATCAAGGAAAGCAACTGAAAGCTGCTTTGGGAAGCTCTTAACCAGCTATCTGGGCCCTGGGAGGGTTGCCTGTGCATGAAGGACACAAACATGTGGCCGGGTGCTGTCCAGGACCACCTCTTCCTCCTCTGACCTTTTCTTTTTTCAGGGTCACCTGTGTATTTTCCCAGGTGACTCTGGCAGGGGGTGAATGCTGTCTGAATGCTGCTTTCATTATGGAAAAGGTGGGGTGGGGCGAGGGTTTGGGAGGCAAAGAGATTTCACAAGGGCGGGGAGAGCCTGCCTGCCCCAGCACAATGTTTGGCATATAGTAGGTGCTCAGCGAATGCTTGCTGAATAAAGGAAGGAACAAAAAGAGCAGGGAACCCTGCTGTTGGAATGGGAACAGAGGCGGCAGGCAGTGGAGTCTGTCATTAGGAGGGTTTGGCCTCCTAATTCTGGGTTGGTCTGCTGAGCTCCTGATGGTCCTGCTGCTGACCTATTGAAGGGCCAGGTCTCAGTGGCATCTGAAACTCCTCTGAGTTCCCGCTTGGAAGTCCCCTCCTTTGGCACAACAGCCCGACAGGCTTGTGGCGAGTCATCCTGCTGGGTGGTTCACCCCAATCATGTGTGGATCTCTCTCCTCTTCATTGTCAGGTTTCCGAATCTCAGTGTAAGCCCTTTTTTTTCCAATGGGCTGTGATTTCCTGAGACCCTCAGGGGAGGCAAGATGCGGGAGAGTGTGTGTGGAGACCCCCTGAAATGCAGAGCTTGCATGTGCTGGCACTGGCCCAGAGGTGTTACGCATATTTATAGAAAAGTCTTCGATGCCTGGCAGTCCCAGGCTGAGACCAAGGGCATGCAGAACATACTTTGCTGAGATTTTGATTCAGCCAAATTTATATTCTTAGGAAAAAAAATGCTAAAACATTTATGTAGAGTCAGTCAATATGGACATTTTTCTAATGCTTAAAGATAAACAATAACTGGATTGACCTTTTCCCCAGAACTGTGCTTTGTTGTAAGACATAGTAAAAAAAAATTGAGTTGTGGCTATAATCCCAGAGAGGATTAACAGGGACTAGTAGGGCCTCTACTGAGGAAGGAACCTCGTGTGGGATCGGACCGTTTTCCTTCTCTAGGCACGCAGGAGGTACTTGCTGTGTTCTTCTCTCCAGAGAGCTGTGCTTTGAACTTGACCTAGAAAGTCTTCCAAAATTTTAAAGTCAGACCACACCAGAGAACTGCATTCTGCTGCCCTTAACATCAACCCCCCATGGTCTTTGATTAAAAGAAGGCCATTTCCCTTTTTTGTTTTTCTTTGAAAGAACTCTTACATAGACTGAGAGGGTATGCACTTTGGCCAAGAAGCCTCCTGTGCTCGAGTGGTTGTATGTGCAAGTGTTAAGTTGTGCCTAGGTGCAAGGAACTAGGAGCTAAGGTATTACAGTCAGCCCGCTTCTATCTCCCTTTAAAATCCAGTTGTTCGGTGGTGTGTCAAGATGTTAAGTCTAACAGTATTGTGGCCATATTTACACCAATCTACCATATACGACTGGGGATATGTTAGGAGTGAAGTTTGTCTTGGACAGTCTGAGCCAGAAATAGGACAAGATTTATAAAGAAAAAAGAAAACACTTGTTTTCTCACAGGTACTGAACGTGCTGATTCGTTTCAGTGTCATGTTCTCCTATAAAGTGCTTAAGAATTGGACAGAATACCTTTAGGTGTCATAACTAACATAATTGAGACACGTTGACATTCCTACCAGGGCATAACATGGTAAACACTTCCACCGGGATTGCAGAACTGTTGTAATTTTTTTTTTCTAACACATCATGCCATCTGCACACATAATAAAAGAATCCAGTAGTTGCCATGCTAAAACGGGACTTCTAGTGAAGGGCACAGCCAGCTCCCCAAAGGGCACTGGAGTTATGCACAGTGATGAGAACTGGAAGCAATTTTCCAGCTAATGGTCTGCCAATGACCGCTTGCAACGACTTGGCACTGCATATTATGCACCTCATTATAAAATCCACACCAAACTAAGATCTCAATCTTGATGGAAGGGGTGTTTTCTTTTTTTTCTTCAGTTAATCTGGTTAATCTGTCAAGGCTCCAAGGGTATCTTCTGGCAGGGCCATGAGTTAGTCTTTCTGCGAGGAGCAGGTCGTGTATATACCAACTGGCAGGACAGCAGCTTGGAAGGCTCACCATGTTTACGGAGAACCCTCGAGTGAGGCTGTAAGAGGAAACAGGGGAAGACACAATCCGTTATTTCTTTGTGTTCCCAGGTTCTGGTATGAAGCAGTTATGCTATTCCGACAAACCCTGTCACCCTTAGGTCAAAGAGAAAGTTCTGGCGAAGAGACTGGTCACTCAACTCCGGGACAAATCATGGTGGCTTGGATTCTTGAAATGTCCTTCCACCGTTTGGGAGCGCATGGGAGACAGCCTGTCTCAGGGACCGGCAAGGTTGTCTGTGTTAAACTAAGAATAAAAGGCTTTCAAAGTGAGGGGCAATCAACTTTTATTTGAGATTAAAAAAATAAAAAAGAACAGCTACACAGGAGAGCACGGATTCAGGCAGAAGCCCAAATAGTGTTCTGATTTGTAGACAAAGGCAATGAGTGTTTATGCGAAAGGGAAGGGGGACAGTTACATCAGTAGAAGAAATGTGTTTCTATTGGTGCAGATAAGTTCACAAAGCGATGCTAATTTTAAACAACGATTTTAATGTTCAGTCCTGTAGTGGTCAGTGAGTAGCTATCCTATCTGTTTTCTTGTTATCTTGCAAACAGTTCTTTGGAGCACAATGTTGCTTTAGGCACAGTCCAAAGTTTATTTTCCATTTTAAGATTCCAAGGTTTGAGGCACAAGATGTGCAAGGTAGCTCCTCTGGCCTGGCAGCCCTGGCTCTACTTTAAAGTGGCTCTGTTTATTCTTATTTTGTGACACCTGGAAACGAGGGCAAAACCAGATCTCTGGGATTGGCACTCAGCCCTGATGGGGCTGTGGTTTGGGAAACCGTTTCACAGATGACACGGTTTCATGAATGTACTTAATCTGGAATGAGATCAGATTGGGAGCAGTGGGAAGGCATTTTTGGGGGGAGGATGTGGGGTTCATCTATCAGAGAGCTTTCCTGGCAGGAAACCTAGAAGGAAATATTGGAAGCAGTGCAGCTGGAGCTCCTGAGTTTGCTGGTTGAAAGGTCCGGTGGCTGAGCAGGTTAGAGGCTAGACAGAGAAAGTCATTACCATCTGGCCAGAGACTGAACTACTTGGATTACAACTGTGCTTTTGACCTTGGGAATGCTGGTGTAGGTCTTGATTTTATTCATTTTTCTAATTTTCCTATTATTTCATCTGAGTTCTCCCTACAGTTCCTATATACAGGTCCTCACTTATTAGTACTATAGGCATGGAATTTAATGTTTTGCTCAGAAAAATATCATTATTTTGTTTAATAATTACTTTGTTTAATACACAAAACTATTGTGCAATGAGAGTGAATAGCAAGAGTTGTTGATGTTAGTAACAAATCTTAGGTTTTCAAACTGGCTTTTCAAAACATGAGAAAATGCACAATTTATAAGGACATGTTTGATTAGAACCTGCTATTTTTGAGAAAAGGCAAAACCAAAAGGTACTATTAAGCATATTAAATATAATATAATATAATATACATTACTGATAAGCCTGTAATGAAAGTAGAATACTAATATATTGCTGGTGGCACTGTAAACTGGAGAAACAGTGCCAATTTATTTAACAACTATTAAAAATTCACATTCTTTGACTGAGTGATCCCTTTCTAGGAGTATATCCTAAGGAAATAATCTAAAAAATGAAAGAAGCTATACACACACACATGAAACCCAGAGGTTATTTATAATAGTGGAAAAACTGGAAAACAACGAGTCTCCTAAATTATGATGTGTTAACAAGATGGATGATTACATGGCCATTAAAGTAATAATTATGATGATTAGGTAGCAACATGGTAAACAGTTATGATATACTACAATACAAAACTTGCTCATATGCACAGAAAAGAGCTGTAAGTGAAATAATGAAAATGCTAGAATTTGTATTATGGTCATCACAATATTTCACAAAACATCCATAAAAATTAGGCTCACAAGGATGCAGACATGATCCATGGACATTGACCAACTAAAGCAACCTTGGTTGCTTTCCCTCACTAATAGCACCTTGCAGATAAAGACTTCACAATTGCATGAAGAGATAATACTCTGGTATTATTGCAGGGGGGATAGAAAATGGCCTGAGTAGAAGTCTTCTGTCTTCTGTCCAGGTTAGTCTGCAAAGGAGCAGTACAGCCTGGACTCAGAAAGATTCCTAGGAGCCTGGTCTAGTATGGCAGCCTGAAGACTTTTGCTCAAGTCAGCTCTGGGAAATGTGTGACCTTGTAAAAGTGTTATTGACAATATCCTATAAAATAAAATTGGAAACGGAATAATGATACTAAAGAGTGAACTCTACTTAACTACTATACTTTGGGTCCCAAGTTGGGATCAGTTGACAGTTCATCACATTTGCTGCTTCTGCAAATAACCGTGTTTTCCATGTGAGCCTCTTAATATCTGGTGAAAAGCAAATATGTCTAATTTTAGCATAAAATAACAGTTATTACCATGGACATATGCTGAGCCCACTATACTTTAAAGCTCTTCCCACCTGTGGTTCCCCAATATGCTTCTGAGGAGAGGCAAAATTATCCCCATTTTATGGATAAGAAAATTGCGGCCCAGAGGTACTATTTGCCCATGATCACAGATTTGAGAAGATTGCATCTGTCACAGTCTTAGGTGGGTCCCACTCCAGTGACATACAGGAGTAGCAGGGACTTATATGAAGCATAAATATTCAGAGCCTTTCCCATTCTCCTATCTGCTAAAGCAGAATTACGTGTTTATCTATAATCCCAATTAGCACAATATGAGTCCTGCTGGGTGGGGAAAAAAATTGGAGACTAAAGTGATTAAAATTAGAAAGAAAGAGACATTAGGAAGGAGTAGAGAGATAGTTCTACAAGACATGAATATGTACAGAAGTACTGGCCACCAAGAGACAGATCGGGGATTTAGGGAGATATGAAGGAGATTTGGGGTCATGGCCACCAAATGAATGAGACATTCAGAAGAAGGATGGTGAAGAGAACAGTGTGCTATGGCATAATGCCCATAGACCATCTAGCCAGGGAATCAGTACAGTATTCGTTGCTCTTTGATGATTTTGCAGGTAGCTGTGTTTCTTCTGAGAAGGTTACCATGTTGAGTTGAGCTTTATGCGGGAGTAAGAGGCCCCTGTTTACTTGACTGTATGTGTAAAGTATGTGGCTACTGTAAGGCTTAAATGATGTCTTTTTGTCACAGATGCATAGTGATGGGCTCTGCTGCCATCACTTTGATAAAGATTTTTTTAATCTGCAGTAGGAGTCAGGTAAAAGCTACAAGAGGTCGAAACGCAAAATGGCAGTTTGCATTAGACGACTCTGCTTCTTCATGATGAAAATGTGGTCTTGGAGAAAGCACACCTTTTGGGATCTGTCTCCTGGGCTTCAGCCATCCCAGGCCCCTTCTAGCTCCTCACATGCACCTGGGTGCCTGAAGCCTTTGTGCAATCTTTCCTCTGGCCTAGGATTCTTTCTTTGCACACCCACTAACACCAGCGAACACCTACCTCTGCATTTTCCAAGACCACCTCATGTGTCATGTTGCATAGGAAGCCTTCGTTCCCCCAGACACCAGCTGACAACTTCCCCCAGTATGCCAGGATGGCATCTTAAATGTTTACCACCAAAGCCACCACAAACACTTTTTGTAATGTATCCATCTCTCCTACATTTTTTGAGTGATGCCCTGTCTTCTTGTTGTGTGACTTCCTAATGCAGAGTGCAATGCCAGGTATACAGAAAGTGCTTAATAAACAGTCATGGAATTAATGAAGGGATGATGTTGAAGAGAAAAAGGTTTTGTTGTTGTTGTTGCTATTTTGGCTTAATTCAATACCTAATTGCACTAGAGATTCAATGCTGGAGCTCGGGCTGACCTACAGGGAGGAGTATCGCTCTGGTTTCCTTCCTACATCAAAGGACCAACCCAAGAACCTGTGCATCCTGGTGTCAGCCACATATGAACCAGCATCTAACAAATAGTAAAGGGCTCTTTCTCAAATCTCTGTTTGATGGGCTGGCATTCCTAGCTTAGGCATTCTGGGCACTGATCTCATTTTTAGTCCCGTGGCTTCAGAACCCGGATGGGTAGGGAAGCCTTAGCATCCAGTGATCAAGAGCATGGGCTCTGGAATCAGGGGGATCTGGGCTGACGTCCCAAGATCACCCCTTCCCAATTACATGAGGTTGAAACATGATTTTCTCAATGTCTTCACCTTTAAAAGGGTGATCATAATCCCCACCTCACTGGACCACTGTGATGACAAAATGAACTCATAGAAGAAGCACTTTGCATGGTGTTTGGTAAAGAGTATCTGCTAAGTGATGGCTACTATTTATTATTATTACGAGGAATTCCCCACGTTTCCTAGAGAAGCTAGAGATACAAATGGGTCAATGTTCTAATGCCAAAGCTGGGGGCCAGAAGAAGGCAGCAATGTGCCTGGGGTCAGGTCTTTGTAGCTGCCAGAAGGGAGAGGACACTCTTCTCGCCTGCCAAGGCTGTCACCCAAGGCCACCACCCACACATGCTGCTTCCACTCCCCCCTGGTTAGTGCAGACAGGAACCAGCAGTTCCTTGATATGGAAGGTTCACATCAAAGGCAGGAAGGGGCTGGCCTGCGGGGCAGGGCCAGCCTTGCAGAAGGTTCCAGAATGGATCTGGGACCAACTGTTGTCCAGCTTTATTTTCCTCCACTCCAGCTGCAAGGGATGGAGGGGACTGGCGTATCTGGGGAAAAAGTGAAGATATGGTGTATGGGAAGCCACACCTCATGGGCTGAAGGGAAGAAATCAGACTTCATCTCTTGAAAAGGTTGTGTGGTATCTTCTCTTCAAAAAGAAGAGCTGTATCTTCTATCTGTGTCTTTTCAGTGACTCAGGTTTGAGGAATTGGGGTGGGCCTGGTTTGCATATCGATGTGGGACTATTTATATAAGGTGTGTGATGCGCATTCCAAAGGAGTGGTATCCATGGTGGCCCCCGCAAAACAGCCAATAATAAGCAGAACGAATATTTACTGATCAGCTACAATGGGCTGTC